TTGTTGCTGCCTTTTATCTTTTCATGCTTAGCTGATCTCCTTAGAAGCGTCTAGAATGCACTCTGAAGGCTTCCCTTTGCTTGCCCCTCCCTGAACCCTACACCTTAGAGACCTTATCCTCAGTCTAAGGAATTCTTAACTGACCTGGGTTTATTTTCTCAAGTGACATGGGTGCTTACATTATATTTCGATATCTGGATGTGTTTAATGCAAATGCTAGCCTTTCCATGGTTACTTGGCTAAGTAGTACATGTAAAAATTGATGAAACATGGCTCACAGGACCTAGAGAAAGTCCTGTCTCCTCTGACCACAAGTGACGCTCTTTTAGCTCTTAAAGGTGACCAGAGGGCACATACAAATGTCATTAGTATACAGAGGAAAGACAGTATGTTTTAAACATCAATTCCTACCAGCAGGTTATTTCAGATTTATAGTATGTGGACTTCTCCTCCTGAGCACCGGTCAGTCCTGCTCTACTAGGGTTAGAAGAGCTGTTCCTGTCCACTCTTAATTGTGACAGCTCCTCAGGTACCTACTCTTCCTTCAGTGCTTCTGTGGCAGGTGGTCCTGTACGACCTGAGCACTGACATGCACACAGACATCTGATGACAAATGAGAGAACACACATTAAGTGTATTAGATACCCCATATCTTAAAAAAAAAAAAAAAAAAAAAAAAATTGACTGGCCTGGAGCATGTAGACAACTTGGAATTCCTGCAGGTTCCCACTACAGCCAGCAAGTGCTCTGCTGGAGTCTTAGACCTGTGTCTGTGGTCGCAGCCACTGCACAGAGCATGCATTAGACTTGACTTCTCAGAATGACAGCCTCATGCCACGTGGGGCCCTGGCCTTTGCAGTGCCACTGGCCCCAGTTCAGTCATGCTGTAGTCACACTACTGCACACCTACCATTTTAAAGGCCTGGTGCAAAAAGGAACAAGATCTGAGTCTTCATATGTCTCTGTTGAGGTGTAGTATTTAGTATGCAGTAAAACTTTAATTCCACCTATTTCAATGTAGCTGCTACGTAGTTTTTAGTTACATTCTTATCTTTCTATTGGATGGTGTGTTAGTGTCAACTTGTTATTTGGATTATCAGTTAGCAGTGCCCTGCTTCCAAGAAATCTGGGCTACTTATAAAGCATTTCTACTGATATTAGTTGGTGTGGGTACTTGGGATTCTATGAGGAATTAACTTTTTTTTCTCTTCTAACTTATAGGAAAAGCAGTAAGCCTCACGAAGACATCATTGGTATCAGATCTCAAAACCAAGGATCTCTGGCCCAGGGGAAAAGTTTTTTAATGAGCAAATTTTCATCTCTAAATCAAAAAGTAAAACAGACCAAATCCAATGTGAACATTGGCAACCTACGCAAATTAGGAAACTTTACCAAGCCTGAAATGAAAGTTAACTTTCTAAAACCAAACTTAAAAGTCAATCTTTGGAAATCAGACAGTAGTCTTGAGACCATGGAAAACTCGGGAGTGATGGATAATAAGGTCCAAGGGGAGTCTGACGGGGACGTGTCTTCAGATAATGATTCCTACCACTCTGATGAATTCCTTACCAATTCCAAGTCTGAGGAAGACAGGCAGCGAGCCAATTCTTTAGAGAGTGTAGGGCCAGTAGATTATATTCTCCCAAGCTGTGGTATTATTGCTTCGGCACCTCGATTAGGCAGTCGATCCCAGTCTGCCAGCAGCACTGATATTAGCATTCATGCTCCCTCAGAGGCTGCTGTTGGTCACGGAAGTGGGCTTGGAAAAGGCCAGGAGTCTCCCTTGAAGAAAAGTCCTTCTGCTGACAGCGTACGCATACCGACTGGCTTTGCCAAGCCAGTGGATGTTTACTGCCACAGATTTGTAAAGGATGCACAGAACAAAATGACTGAGCTCTCAGAAACCAGGTCTGTGTCTCAGAATAGTGAGGAAGGAAACCAAAAGACTAACAATGTTTCTAATGAAGAAAATCAGTCAGAATCAATGGGACAGATGCCTTCTCGACCATCCCAGTTAAATGTGTCTTGTTCTTTGACAGGCCCCCAGTTTTTATCAGTTGAATCAGTCCATTCAGTGGCATCTCAGAAGAGCCCCAGCTCTGGGTCCAGCCTGCTGGAACTGGAGGCAGGGCTTTGTGTGACTCCTTCTTCAGAGAGCAGCAGCAGAGCGGTCTCTCCCTTTGCAAAGATCCGTAGCTCCATGGTCCAAGTTGCTAGCATTACCCAAGCTGGGCTAACTCATGGGATAAACTTGGCAGTGGCCAAAGTTCAAAAGAGTCCAGCAGAACCTGAAGTGGTTAATGAAATTCAGCAAAATGAACTTAAAAATATGTTTACACAATGCCAGACACGAATAATTCAGATTTAGATTTTAGTCACAATCTTACAGTCTTTATTTAAAAACTCAAAATGAAGTTTTCACCTGTGAGGCTTATTTTTTTTTTTTTTTGGTCTTTTTGAAACAATTTCTCTGTGTATCCCTGGCTGTCCTGGAACTTGCTTTGTAGACCCGGCTGGCCTCGAACTCAGAGATCCACCTGCCTCCCGAGTGCTGGGATTAAAGGTGTCCCCCACCACTGCCTAGCCCTATCAGGCTATTTTAATCTGTACTGAGTTTAGGGATTACAAATTCTAATTATGTTCATTGGTGATTGTTTAACAAGGAGTCTGAACCTGAGCAAATTTTCAGATGTATAGCCTACAAGTGATTGTAGGCCAGAGTAGCAAATACACAGTAGAGTGCTTTGTTGATCTCACTCGGGAAGGTTCAGGAAAGAACCAAGCTAGTGTTTGGAGGGAGGAGGGGAGATGGTCTGTGAAGCAGAGGCAGTGTGGATACACCCATTGAAAGAATTAGCATTTTCCTGCTAGTCTATCAGGTTCATTCCTGTACACTGCCTTGTAAGGGAAATTATACATTTAGAGTTTAGTGACTTTTAGAAGTGTGCGGAAGTATCTAAATTAAAAAAAAAGTAGTCTTACCAGCTTAAGCCTTCTCTGTGAAGTTGAGAATCAACAATGGTGAAACAACTGTCATTTGATTCCAATTTCTCCCGTATTTTTCTCTCCCAAATTCCTGAACAAACACAGGCTTGCCTATCATAAAGTACACCTGCTTCAGGAAGAGATCATGTATACTGATTACTGACTCTAGGAATCTCTAGAAGAAATGTCAAGTTTTAACTCTTAAGGGGGAAGGGGGACATTTAGCATCTCTGGTAGGTTCAGGAAGTATGGAAAAACATAGCTAAAGTACAGGTTAGTACTGGTTTTATACAGTAATGGACCACCAAGAACACTGGCCTCCTCTACATCCTCTGCATCCCAGAGTAAGAAAGCTGTATGGCACATTCCACCAAGTATCAATGTCTCTGGGGCCCTTAGAGCCTTCCTCTGTGGAAGTGACTCTCAGTTGAACATTATGTCTGTTGTAACTCTGATAAGCATTCCGCTTTTGTTATTTATTAGAAGTGTCAAGTCTTGTGACTATTAAAGTACTACTGTAATTCAAAGCATCAATGTGTATGAGAATTTCTTATATAACATCTAGTAGTAGTTTGGTTTTCAGAGAATTCATAATGGCAAGTTTGCTACAACCAAACACTTGTTTCCAACTTTTTCAATTAATGTGTTCATATTTAAAAAGTAAGAACTGTATTTTAAATCCCAAACATTAAAAACTGGATGCTGCAGTCTGTTCTTTCCCATCTTTTTCTTCAGGCTCTTCAGAGTAGTTAGTGCTCACTAGCTGAGTCAGGTGGGCAGGTAACAGGCGTGTGGGTTTCCACAGAAATGGCCCACAAAGATCTGACAACAGCAGTGAGCGGGATGCTTATTTCCCAGAGGCCCAGAGCTATGGGTGTGAACGTGAACACCCACTGTGCAGGCGAGGGGAGATGGTGCCTCAAGAGGCTGAAGGGCCCAGGATCTTCTAGTTTGACTTGGGTAGATGACATCCTGTGCTTCTAATTCATGAAGAAATGCCACGGCACTGGCACTGGTGATTTAGAAGTTTTATTTACTAGACAAGGTTACTCAAGGGAACTTTTCTGTGAGATCAAGCAAAATTATGACTTCTCTTTGGCAAATTACAGTTTACATTGGTACCGTTGGACACGATAAACTAAAACTTTGTTCTAGGACAAAGAAAATGCATTTTCAAAAATCTATGTGAACATTTTATTTTCAAAGGTTGAAGGAAGATCTCATCTACCAGTTATAAAAATGAAAACCAGTTAGAATTCTAATATGAACACTATTTACATTAGCTTATAAAAATAGATTTGAGGTTAGGAAAAGAATGCTGAACAACTAGTACTTTGTACTTTCTTTCATTAGGCTAACTCCTTGATTTATCAAGGCTGACCCTGTTTCCTGTTAACAATGTCAATGTAAGCCTCTTTAATAGGAAAAAGATAAGGGACCACTGAATTCATCTGTTTTCAAATGAATCCATCTTCATGTACATCACAAATAGCTTAAAAGCAATGTTCTAACCTTTCTGAAGATTATTGTTGCCACAATTACCGTTATACTATATTAATTTGCAAATTATAAGTAATAACTTTTGCTTATTTGAAAATACACATCTCAAAATGAATAGATCTGAGGAAAACCTACCTATAACTTTGGGCCTTTACTGCACTAGCAAATGATGTTACCCATCTAACACACTTGGAAACTATCTGAAAAACTTATATTAAAAGCTCAAAATGCAGTACATTCGTCAAATCAGCTAAATAATGAGGAAAATGACCAAAGTCCCCACCCCCCAACAGGCTGGGGATGTGGTTTAGTGGTACAGTACTTCTCTAGCATGTACGAGGGGGCCAGGGTTCAATACACAGCACCATAGAAAGATTCTAACCCCCCTCAAAGTTTACAATTTAAATTGACTTTTTCATGTTTGGACAAGGTTCCGTGGGGCACCATTCCCTTCAGAATCCATTAAAATGATAGTTCCCAAATGCAAGGTATGAGAAAAGCTAAGGACAATGGAGTGACCTTCACAAAACTGCATTTATTCCATCAAAAGAGTCTCTTGTCAGAGTGTCCTTGTATGAAAACAAAATGGTGATCACAGTGATTTTTTTTTTTTTTGTTTTTTTCAAATGACTTGGCAAAATCAATTGGCAACTCTACCCCAGAACTCTTTGGAGGTATACTAGTCTATGAAATCCAAAAGTTGGGAACTCCTGCCGTGGAAAAGCCTAATTCTGCAGGCTGTTAATAGCTGGTAAGTGAGAGAGTTTCTGTGGCCAGATATGTGGAAAATGACACTAGAGAGTTCACATGAGTCAATGGCAAGTCCATCCCCTAGACACACTCAGACCAGACTGAAATGAGCGCACAGCTCTTCCAGTAACTCCTCAGGTGAAGCTGGTACTTCAAGAGTCTGGCCCAAGATGCAGCCATGGCTAAGGAAATGGTGTATGATCAGCAACATTATCATTATCAAACCTTTAATATCAAATACATCTTTGTACATCATAACTAATTATAAAACAAACTCCAAAACTCCATAAAACCAGTAAGGTAAAAGCCCTTACAGAGAATCATATAAACTTTGGACGTCATCAGGCTTGATTTCAGGAAGTCATTGTTTGTGGATACAAATTATTTATAAAACAATATGGTATAAACGAATCTGAATTGTACAACACGGAGGCTACAGATGGCCCGCCCTTCTCTCCTACAGTTCGTTCCCATTCACACCCTTGTGCTGCTGAAGCCTGTTTCTCCTGGAAGACTCCAGCTGCTTGGCTCGTAGCCACCGCTCTCGTGACAATGTTGTCTGACCGGCACTCAGCGACAGAAACCTGGTTTGAAATTTAAAAATTACCCAGTTAGTCAGGATTAGCTTCAAGTTTGAAGAACTAGGCAAGCTATGAAAGCCCCTCAGGAGACAAGACCATACGGTTGCTACACAGGAGCAGAGCTGAGTGTGACCTTGTAGAGAAATCCCGAAGAGACAGAATTAGAGGGTGGCTCACTCTCAAAAGCTTAGAAAACAAGCCTGTTCTGCTGAGATCACTGGTAAATGTGAACCCCTCCATAAGCACTTTTTAAAGTTGGGTGTTCTTTTTATTACTATTTTTAACATCCCGGTGGCAGTTTCCTCCCCGCCTCTCTCTCCCTGTCACTTCCCCTCCGCGTGCCCACCACTCCTCCTCCTCCAGTCAGGGAAGGGCAGGCCTCCCATGGACATCAACCAAACATGGCATATCAAGTTGCAGTGAGACTAGGCATCTCCCTTGTATTAAAGCTGGACAGGGCAGCCCAGTATGAGGAAAAGGGTCACAAAAGTCGGCAAAAGACTCAGTGGCAGCCCCTGCGTCCACTGTTAGGAAGGAGTCCCACGTGAAGACCAAGCTCCACATCTGTATCATGTATGCAGCGGGCCTAGGTCAGTTCCCTGGCTGTCGGTTCAGTCTCTGTGAGCTCCTAGGAGCCCAGGTTAGTTGGTTCTGTGGATTTTCTTATGGCGTCCTTGAGCCCTCTGGCTCCTAAAGTCTTTCCATCTTCTCCAGCATTCCCAGAGCTCCACCTAGTGGGTTTTCCTTTTATTTGACTTTTTCATGTCTGCATGTGTTTGTGGGAGGCCCACGGCTGACATCAGGACTCGTCCTCCGTCACTCACTGCCTTGTTCCTTGACGAAGGGTCTCTTACTTGAACCCAGGGCTGGGTGGTATAACTAAGCTAGTCAGTTTGCTCTGGCAGTCCTCATGGCCACGCATACCCAGATTTTAGGTGGGATCTGAACTTTGGTCCTTAGGCAAAAGCTTTAGCCATCTGCTCAACCCTAGAAGGTGTCTTTGGAGGAAAAGTTCCTTTGTTTTTAGAATTCTGCCTCAGATACTGTTGAATAAATCAGAACTGCACACAGCCAACAGAAAAAGGGATTATGAGGCTGGGTGGTGGTGGCACACACCTTTACTCCCAGAGGCAGGCAGATCTCTGTGACCCAGCCTGGTCTACAAAGTGAGTTCCAGGACAGCCAGAGCTGTTACACAGAGAAACCCTGTGTCAGAAACCACAAGGAAAAAGAGAAGGGGATTGTGGATGAGCACTACTTACCGAGCCACCACGAGCAACTGGTGGAGATCATCAGCTGTGATACTCTGAGGGTCATTTTTACGCATTTCCACAAAATCATCTTCAACCGCCTTTATCAAAAGAGTAATATATTTGTAAAAGTATTCCTTCAAAAAGTGCATTTCAAACTATTTCCTTATTTTTGTAAAGAAAAAGAAACCTAGTCCTTGACTGAAGTAAAACTAGATGGACAGATGAGGCAAGATGGGTAAAACAGACAGACAGACAAAATTGAACCCCATTACAAAACGCAGCATAGAACACTTTCGACTGCAGCTCAGTCCCGTTTGAGAACACCAAACAAGCGCAGAAGCCGGCATCTTCTGGAGTGTGATGCCACCAAAGAGGAAGAGACCCCAGAGAAGACGGCACAAGCAGGGTTGCCACGGTGCACCCCTGTAACCCCAGTATTCAGAAAGCCGAGGGACGAGGACCGCAGGTTACAGGCCTGCCTGGGACCATCACAGCAGCAGACAGCGGCTGGAGCGGCTCCAGCAAACTCTGGAAACTTCCAGTAACCTGGGGGTCACTTATGCAAGAAAACAAGTGGCTCTTGGTAAGAATGCTGAGTTCTGTAACAATTCACACTGTTTTGTTTTCACACTCCACACCCCCACCTCAGGTGTTGTCCTTGAAAACCAACAGCCTGGCAGCCACTGGAACAGCAGAATAGGCAGGGCTGACGTTCCTTTAATGTACCATTCACAAAGAACTGCTACTCAGATCTGCAAGGCTGTCCTTACTCAATCGAACTTGAAGCCCATTATAATGGTCTACTATTGTTACCATTAACAGCGTGCTGTGCTTGCTATGTGAACTAAGCTCTGGAAAGGGTTACATACATGCACCATTATGTGCCGCTGCATAGTGCATGCAAAATCTGGTACTGGCCAGTTCCAAGCACCTACTGGGGCTCTCCAGCATGCATCACTCTCGGATAAGGGGGGACTACTGTTATTAAGAACTAGAGGAGGATATGTACACAATGCCTCACCAAGTAGAGACTACCAATAAGAAGAAAACAATGTTTAAAAAGAAGCAAATGGGAAATCCTATACATAAAAAATAAGGTAACTAACAGCAACAACAAATTGCTAGGTATGGAAGATTTGAGCAGGCACAAAAATCAACCAACCGACTTCCAGACAGGGAAACAAAGAAAGGAAGGGAAAGTGATCAGAGCTCCAAGGACCTGAGGTTCAGCAGCAAGGTTCACACTGACCAGGTGACGCGAGGGCGATGGGAGACAGGAAGCAGCAGGGGAGCTGAAAGAAACCATGGCCCTGACCCTGAAGAGGGTTAAGACGTCATCAACATCAAGGGCACATCAAGCTCAGCACACTGCACTCGGACAACCAACAGCAATCCAGACTTGGAGGTGTGCTCCTTAAGGAGGAAGGACTGCTCACAATAGGAAAGGCAGAGCGCCTGGGAATGGCGACAAGACACCTGGGAATGGGGACAGACGGTGGAACGGGGCGAGAGCTTTAAACCCAGCACTTAGGAGGTAGGGGCAGGCAGAGCCCTTTTTCTGTTTTTTAAATGGGAGCCAGTGGCAGGTGCTTAACTCCAGAAGGCCCTGGGTTTGAAACTCAGCATCATAAATCAACTAATAAATGGAAGCGGGGCGGGGGAGGACAGTCCCAGATAAAAGCTTGAAGAAGCTATCACAGAAGACACACCCTCAAGTGACACTAAAGGGTCCTTCAGGGGGACAGAAAGCCTTGGTAGAGGCAACACACAGGGAAATGCCGGCCGGTGTAAAACTAGGCATGGCGGCGTCTGCCCATAACCCCACGTCCCTAAGTCTAAGGCCAGCTTGGGCTACACAGTAAAACCACAGGTGACTCAGAAAAGCAACAAAATTGCATTTTCTTGCTTAACCTCCCCCTCTGGTTTGAAAGACAATTGCACAATGTGAGAATGATGTGTTATGGGTATACAACGTACAAGGATGTAATCTGTGAAATAACATGAAAGAGGCAATGAAGAATTGATTGGAAAGGAGCAAATTTTCATGTATTAATGTAGTTAAATCACCTGCCAATCCTACAGACCAAAGCAACTGCTCATTCCAAGGCTCAAAAACTAACTTGATGAGGTAGGAACTAGAGATAGAATGCTTGCTGGACTGATTGTTACAAAGGAACTGGTTTTGATCCCCAGGGCTGAAATAATTAAACCAACCAAAAAAACCAAAAGCAATTCAAATGCAGAAAGGCAGGAGGCAGCTGAGTACAAGGACAGAGAATGAATCCCTTTTAAACAGAAGATGACCATAAAATAAAGACTAGAGCCGGCAAACACCAACGTTACCTTACAGGTAACTGCAGCCCAGGATTTCTGGCCGCGACTGAGGCGTACCTTGGTGACGTCATCTGATATGCTGTAGTCCAGAAACCTCAGGAGGGTCAGGTAGATGCGGAACTTGTTGAGCACGGCCGGCAGCACGGCCGCCAGCAGACCGTTCATGTACTCCTCCATGTTGGGTGGGATCAGCTGCGGCTGTAAGTGAATCTGGCAGTCTGCCTGGAAGAGGAAGAGGAACTCATTTCCAAGTTCCTACAATAGCCTACATTTTAGAGGATGAAGCTCTCGGATGTTTAAGGAGGGGGATATTTTTAAAATCTTAATGTACTCAATGTCTGACTGGGTCATCAAAGACATGAAAACAGAGCAACGTGACAAGATCTTCTTCAAGTCAGGCTAGCCTTGAACCCAGCAGAGGAACATCTGGGATGGGTAGGGCTCAACCAGCAGGGAGGCTTGCTGCCAAGCCTGATGTGAGGACCTGAGCTTGATCCCCAAGACCCACATGGTGGACGGAGAACCGACTCCTTTCAAGTTGTCCTCCAACCTCGACACACCAGCCATTGCACACACGCACACACGCATCACATGACCAGCAGGGGAAAAGGGACAAAAGAAGTAAGAACAGCAGTCTGGATTATTAAGGGGAATTAGCTTCTCTTTATTTCTAGAGATGAGAGGTTCGCCTACCAGTAGCTTTGGTTATCTTGTGATTTCCTGGTTCTTAATAGTTATAAATTTTTACATTGAGGTAAAAAGAAATAATAGATTCCCTTGTTAATAACTAGCAGTTACAATCTCCTTTTTTGTAATCTGCTGATGGAATTCAGAGCCCTATATAAGATAGGTAAGTGCTTTCCCACTGAGCTGTACTGAGGTGGGAGGGAGGTCTTGCTATGCTGCCCAGGAAGGATATTGACTTTACCTTCCAAGCTCAGTCTCCTCCGTGTACAGATCACAGGCATGGACGAATCCTCCAAGCTAACTCACAATTCATAAACAAATGCAACTCACTGAAGCAGTACGCAGCGCTGGGCTAAGGGGATGGTTCAGACTGTGGAACCATACACAGAGTGCACACCTTCGTGGGGCTGAGGAGACTGCGCGGCAGCTGAGAGCACTGACTGCTCCAGAGGACAGAGTTTGGACCCTAGCACACACACTGGGTGCCTTACAATGCATTTAACTTTGGCTCCAAGCCAGAACCCCCCAGTTCTGGTTTCTGTGGGTATGAATGAGCACAGGCACACACCCACACTGATAAAATAGCACCCACCACTTGGCGCTGAAGAGCTGGCGCCGTGGTGAGGAGCACATGCTGTGCGCTTGCAGAAGATGGAGGCCTGGTTTCTAGCACCCACATGGTGATTCTCAGCCAAGCCTAAATCCAGTTCCCGGGGATCAAATGCCCTCTTCTGTCCTCCATGGGCACCAGGGCACAAAAATGGTGAGCATACATACATGCACATAAAACATTCACACACATAAAATAAAATATTAAAAAAAATAAAATGTGTGACACACACATAAAACGTGTGGGTTTTTTTTTGTTTTTGTTTAAGACAAGGTCTCTCTCTATGTAGTCCTGGCTGTCCTGGAGCTCACTATGTAGAACAGGTAGCTGATCTCCAACTCACAGAGATCTGCCTGCCTCTGCCTCCCAAGTGCTGAGAGAAGTATACTACACACCTGGTGTAAATAAATCTTTTAAGACAAAAAGAAAGACAAAGAAAAGCACACAGCATTAAATCCCTAGAATCTATATAGAAATGATGGTGTGGCGGTTTACCCTTGTCATCGCAGCGACTGGAGGCAGAGACAGGTGTATCTGGGGCTTGCTGGACAGTCAGACCAGCCTACTTGGCTAGGCCCAGGCCAGTAAGAGACCCTGTCTCAAAATGCAAGGTGTATGGTTCCCGGGAAACAACACTGGCCTCGACACACACACCTGCACACACAGACAATATAAGAAATAAAAGTGGACAAAGCGACAAGAATCCTGGCACTGTAACCTCCCTCCACTCAACCCCGAGCCACCATACCGGGAGTAGTGACCTCCCCTCGGATGTGATGAGGACGTTGATGTTGCACGGGAACTCCATCTGGTGGTAACTGAAGTCATAATCCACCTTCTGCCAGGTGATCAGGTTGCTCAGGGCAGTCACATTATGAACACCTGGAAGAGCAAGACTGTCACTGGCGGTGATATGATTTTAATCACCTACACAAATCAGCTCGGCTGACAAGGACCCTAAGACATGTGGTTGTCTGCCACTTAAATAAACGGATGGTGGCTGACAACTTAACAAGTGCTATGTCAGTAAGCCAGATGTTAACTAGATACTAAGCACCATAGATAGCATTAGGTCAACTAGAACTTTCTGGAGCCACAACTCACCAAATCTAACGCCAGACACAGAGTGGGACTCTGGCAAGTTCATTACTTCCTAGGTTATAGCTGTGATAAGATGGTTGTTGAGTTTTCCCAATTTATATATATTTGGGGACAGGGTTTAATGAAGCCCAGGCTAGCCTTGAACTCCTAGCTCTCCTGCTGCTCAAGGGACAGGAATGCAGGTGGGTGCCACCGCCCCTGGATACACTGGCCTTACCCATCCCCAGGTCTCCCTTTCCATCTACTTTTAATGCCTCACCCTCATCAGCAGTGTCACCCTGCATCCTGTCACGTGGACACGATCCAGCATGCTTTCTTGTCATTTTTTAACAGGTTCCATCATTGAGCTTCATTTAAAACATAGGATTTTTCCCCAGAAATGATAAAAACTGTTTATGGGATATATAATTTTTTTTTTTTTAAATTTTTCAAGACAAGGTTTCTCTGTGTAGTTTTGGTGCCTTTCCTGGAACTCGCTCTGTAGCCCAGGCTGGCCTTGAACTCACAGAGATCTGCTTGCCTCTGCCTCTCAAGTGCTGGGATTAAAGGCATATGCCACAACCATAACCACCCGGCTGTCTAAAATATTACTTAAATCCTTTCTATCCTTTTTTGAGCTGAAAGGCAGCTAACAGAATGTCATAATGAAACAGTCGGTGTACACAGTTTGTAGTACATGCCTTAGTGAAGTGCAGGTTTTAAAAGTATCTGTTAAATGTAAGTTTGCCTTAGAAGCCATTGCTAGGTCTGGCTAAACAGAGCGAAGCCACAAGAGGACAGGAAGTGTCTGCATGCGTACCTGGGGTATCCAACTGCCCTTGTTCTAGAAGAGTTTCATCAATGACCAGGGACGTGTTGTTGGGCAGCTGGAGGAGGCCACTGACCAGTCGATTGGCCGTATAGTCTTTGTGGGGAATGAGTTTCAACTGGTTCATGTTTTCTATCGTCATCTGCAGACGAAAAGACTGAAACAGAAATTGTAATGAGCAAGGATCCAAGTTTCTCTATGAAAAAAATACACAAAGACACAGATTTGGAGTCAAAACATTTGTGTTTCACGTGGTATGATCTCATTTCTAAGGGAAACAAAATGGTCTCGGCAGCTCTTAGAAACTGACCACAGTACAATCCATGCTTCTTACAGCTGCTTGTTCTCCGTTTTCAGCTGGGCCTGAGATAAGGCCAGCCACAAATACAAAGAAAAGAATTTTTTTCAAGTCTTGATGAATAATTTTTACTCTGAAACAAGTGCTAGACAGCCAGGATTCAAACGTCAGCTACTCAGAAGCTGCACTTGACTAAGGACCGGAGGTAGTAAACCACCAACTGCTGACCCTATTCCCTGAGGCCAGAGAAGAGCTCTGTGAATTGAAACGCTATTCCCTTAACCTAGACCACTGCATGACGCTGCAGACCTCACTACCAACGCTCCAGCCAGAGCATGGACCCTCCACACCCCTGCCTCCAGCCTCCACCACTCCACACTCTCCTAGATCCCTCTACTCATGCATGTTCCAGCCTTCAGAAAAGCACAGGGTGGGAAAGTCTGTGGAAGATGAAGGAAGATTACAGCGGAAATTTAAGAGAATTTTAAATACTTTGGCTCAATTATTCTTAGAAAGGAGGGCAGGAATTCTTTACAGATAGAGATGAAGTCCCAGAAGAGGCAGGGCTTGTCCAAAAAGGTAGCTGCTGCAGAGATAGCGCAGCGGTTAAGAACCCTTGTTCTTGTGGAGGACCCGGGTTGTATTCCCAGCATCCACACGGTGGCTCACAACGTCCATAACTCCAGTTCCAGGGGACCCAACACCCTCTTTTGACCACCATGGGCACCAGGCACGTGCATGCTGCACAGACAGACATGCAAGGTAAACACTCATACACATCATCAAAGTTTTAACTCTTAAAACAAACAAAACAAAACAAAGGAGTGGCCATGTGCTGGGCTAAGGCCGACTCTGCCACAGAACCACAAGCAGGACACGTAACTAGTGGTAAAAGCTGAACGCTTAGAGAGAAGAGCATTGATAAAGGGGCTGGTGCCAGGATGCTAGAGTGATGACAGAGGAGATGGGGTCAGTGACAAGCTAAACAAGGAAATGGGACCAGAACAAAATGCAAACACCTGCCACACTGGTACCTCTAAGACCCTTGCTCCACCCTCTCCCAGGTCAAAAAGTCGCCTGTGTCCTCAGTGTGCCAAGAACCCTGGCCTCACAACTGAGATCTGGACGGCCTTTGGCGCCACCTTGTGTCTGAGGGCTGGTACTACACCAGCGTCTTTGCTGGCTGGCATCTCTTATAAGCCATGCTATTCCTTACTGCCTGCTTGTCCTCCATGTAGGAAGACATGACCCCAGGCAGCCACCAGGTCTGCTCCAGAAACATCCATGGTGTCTCAGACCCTTCTGGGTAGATGGGCATATAGGCACGGCCAGTGTTGCATTTCGAGAGTTTCACTGTTCTGCCGGGAATCTTTTTTTTTTTTTTTTTTTTTTTTTGGTTTTTCGAGACAGGGTTTCTCTGTGTAGCTTTGGGCCTTTCCTGGAACTCACTTGGTAGCCCAGGCTGGCCTCGAACTCACAGAGATCCGCCGGGCTCTGCCTCCCGAGTGCTGGGATTAAAGGCGTGTGCCACCACCACCCGGCATCTGCCGGGAATCTTTAAAGCACAGACCCACAGTTACTTTCTTGTACCACAAAAACATAGAACTCAGAGAACCTATTTCAGGAGTTGTGGGTTTAGGGAGCTGCTAAGACCCTATTACAGAGTTTATGAATGAAAGCCACACATTTACCCTCATTCTTTCAAAACGGAAGACAGAATGATTTTTACCATAGAGAATGTACAAACTCCAACAGGCTTTCAGATACTACCCCAGCTATCATCTAAGAAACACACCAGATCAAAACACACCACCACAGGCGCAAATGTGGAAACGGACTAGAAAAATCTAGGAGTCTCCTATTAATTTAGAAATCCAAGAGCTTGGCAAAATGCAATACAATGTCAGTTCTATTACTATTTTGATAAATATAACAAATCATTCAACAGTTTTAATCACTAATGTCAGAAATCAGTGAAAGCATAGCAAGTTGAATAAGTGGCCCCAAGTCCTCAGGACTCTGCTGCTTCTGCAAGGCCTGAAGTACAGACTGGACAGGCAGTTCAGTGAAGAATCTGGCTTCACTTTTTTTTTTTTTCCCGAGACAGGGTTTCTCTGTGTAGTTCTGGTGCCTGTCCTGGATCTCGCTCTGTAGACCAAGCTGGCCTTGAATTCACAGAGATCCGCCTGGCTCTGCCTCCCGAGGCTGGGATTAAAGGTGTGCGCCACCACCCGGCCTGGCTTCACTTTTTAAGTCCCAAAGAAGTGGCCAGCATTTTTAGTTACACAACTCATCAGAGCAATTCCCCTATCCCCGAGATCCCAACACACAAATGGTGCGTTCCAGATGCTCCCAAACAGCAACTAAACCTGGGGCATGAAGATGGTCTCCTTTATTACTTCAGCTGAGAGAACTGAGCTCATATAATTTAGGCTTATTTAGATTTCAAGTTTAATATGCACACAAAGGACCAAACTGAAGGACCAAACTGGCAGCAGCAGGAAGCATGATCTTAAGGGAGTCACTGGCATTGCATTAATTTTTAGATTTACAAATTTGTGCTGGGCCAATCAGTGTGAACACTGAGAGTACATTTTAAATTATGTCAATTGGCAGGTGTCGTCCCTTGTAAATGAGATCCACCAGGAACACAAAGTACTTGAGATGATAGAAAATAATTGGATTTGTTGTTCATAGTACTTCATAATATTATCTTACTGCTGGAACAAGGTGTTGAATGATCCGATATAGGTGTTCTGTGAAGGTACTATTTTGTGGGCAGCCACTCAGGTTAACTGTAAATTTTCCTAGTGGAAGAACATCTCTTCTTGTATATCTAGGAAAGGGGAAAAGAAAAAGAAAAAACAAAAACAAAACAAAGGTAAGATATTGAAATATTATCATTAGACATTTTGCAGAAGCAGGAGGAGATGGCTCAGCGGTTAAGAGCACTGGCTGCTCTTCCAGAAGACCAGGGTTCAATTCGCAGAACCCACATGACAGTTCACAACCATCTGTAACTCCAGTTCTAGGGAGAATAAGATACCCTCTTCTGGCTTCCACCAGCACTGCACGCACAGATATGCAGGCAACAGTCACACACATAAAAGAAAAGTCAATTTATTTATTTATTTATTTGCAGAACATCGGCTATCTTATCTATCAGAACAGCAGCAGTTAAAAAATAAAAGCCAATACTTAAACTACTGCTCACATGCCTTTCTCCCCTCTCCAAACATTTAAGGTGGACTGTGTTAAGAACTCTGAAGTCCGCCGGGCGGTGGTGGCGCACGCCTTTAATCCCAGCACTCGGGAGGCAGAGGCAGGCGGATCTCTGTGAGTTCGAGGCCAGCCTGGGCTACCAAGTGAGTTCCAGGAAAGGCGCAAAGCTACACAGAGAAACCCTGTCTCAAAAAAAAACCAAAAAAAAAAAAAAAAAAAAAAGAACTCTGAAGTCCAAGTAGAGCATCCCTTAACCAAAATGCTGAGACTTGAAGTGCTTCAGAACGTCTGCAAACTTCACTGGCTAAGCATGCACACTATAAGCTCATAGTTACTGCCTCACAGTTTGACTTAAGCAGTATGCCTGTGGCTCAGTTTACTCAGACTTCCCTGTATTTCAGGCTTTTCCATTAGGGATGGAACAGTCTAACACTGGCAGAGCTCTGATGTGACCCCTGCTTTCAAGCATCACATATTGTCTTAGATGCCATAGAAGAAAGGGAAGACTTACAATGGAAAGATGCATTTACTACATGCGTGCGCGCGCACACACACACACACACACATACACACACACACACACACACACACACACACAGTGAGAAGATCTAACGTTTGGGAAATGGGTACAGTATGGCACAGATTTATAATGAAATTGAATACAGTCATTAGAAAGCTTGTGAAGAAGGCAGGGTGTGGTGGCATGTCCTCAATCCCAGCACTCAGGAAACAGAAGCAAAAGGATCTCTATGAGTTCCAGGCCAGGTCCATAGTGATACCCTACCTCAAAAAAGTATTATGGTGGGAAAATGGAGCTAACTAAATACTGAATGTGAAAAGCAAGATAAGGATCTGTGCTTCAACCACACCTGACAAATCCACATTAGTAAACACAACACGTGGACCTCAACCAAAGAAGAGGCACAAGTGGGAAAGGGAAGAGGCTGTCTGTCAAGTGAGAGCAGGCAACGTCCTTTCTGTTATCAGGACACATTATTTCGTAAGCAGAACAAAAAACCTGTCAGGTGGTGGTGGTGCACACCTATAATACACTCAGGAGGCAGAGACAAGCAGATTTTTGAGTTTGAGGCCAGCCTGGTCTACAGAGCAAGTTCCAGGACAGCCAGGGCTACACAGAGAAACCCTGTCTCAAAAAGCCAAAAACTAAAAGGGAAAAGGGGTGTGTGTGATTAAAGTCAATATACAAATTAAATACACACAAAGACAGGCATCACCGTTTTACAAACAGAGCCAGGAGAAATATAATACAAATGGTACGTGGATGCCACTCCATGGGAAAGCACACGCCTAGTGTGCTCAAGAAAAGATGGGATAGCTCATTTCACTCCTCAGTCAGGCCCTGTCTGGTCTTGCCCCTAACGTTTACTAAGAGGACAGAATCAAAATGTTCTGTGTGAAAGGTGAAAAAGGAAACTGTATTTGATGCAACATTTGTATTTGGAACAAACAATTCCCCGTGAAGATGAACTGATAAAGAAGTGAAACCCCAGCTGTTCCCATCCACTCTTTACCCACACCTCAGCTGTAGGAGAATATGATTTTAAGGTGTGTTACTTTTGTTTAACTCTGTGAAGCTGTGTTACTGTGCCTGTCTAAAACACCTGATGGTCTAATAAAGAGCTGAACAGCCAATAGTGAGGCAGGAGAAAGGATAGGCAGGGCTGGCAGACAGAGAGAATAAATAGAGGAGAAATCTGGGAGAAAAAAGAAAAAGAGACGGAGGAATGAAAAGATCTAGAAGGAGCCAGAGAAGGGGGACATCAGGGGCCAGCCACCCCGCTACACAACCAGCCAGCCATGGAGTAAGAGGAAGATGTACACAAGTAAGAGAACGGAAAAGCCCAGAGGCAAAGGGTAGGCAGGATAATTTAAGAGAAGGAAAGCTGGCTACAAACAAGCCAAGCTAAGGCCAGGCATTCGTAAGTAAGACTAAGCCTCCGTGTGTGATTCACCTGGGAGCTGGGTAGCACCCCCACCCCAAAGAGCAGAAACAATACTTCTCAGTTCCCACAAAGCGCACAGCACTTACACTGTTGAGATGAGATGCAGTATAAGGTACTCAGCGGCCAAACTATCTCCCAAGAGCGCGTGAGTGAGGAATCCAAGCAGCTCTGCTCTGACCGGAGACAACTCGGACATGAAACTGGACACAACTGTGGAAGGAAGGAAGGCAGGCAGGCAGATGAGAGTGTGCACACCAGCTCTGCACCAGCATCTCAGTGCAAGAACAGGAAGGAACGCTCCAGTTCTAGAGATGAGCAAGAACTTAGAATAATGGCCAACAGATGATGCCAACGTTAGAGTGGGCAAGACGCGCCTGGAATAAAGGCACTTGCCACCAAGTCTGTTGTTGACCTGATGAGCTAAGTTTGATTCCCAAGGACACACACAGCACAAGGAGAGAACTGACTCCTTTAAGATCTCCTCTTCCCTCCACATGCATGCCTTGGCACATGCATGTTCTATTCCCCTCCCCCATAAATAAATGTAATCTAAAAAAATTAAAAAGTGATGCCAATATTGGAACAAAGACATAAACCCTTTGTTCTTGTTTAGGTCTCGTTTCAATGACAAGAATCCATGGAAGAGGAAATGGGGCAAAGCCACAGATATTACTAGAAAACTCACTCTGCTGAGCAGGGGCTAGGGCCCACATGGAGGTGAACTGCCGGTCACGGGCTCCAACACTTACACTTACAGGTTCTGCTCTCTTCCTTGTTAAGGCAAGTGGGTAACAAAGGATTGATGTGCTGCAACTTCTGGGCTAAAATCACATGAATTCTTGGCACTAACGAAGCGGGAGGACTGTGCACCCTCTGCTCTTCGGCCATGTCTGTGCACTCCATGGGGTCCAGGAGTGCAGAGGCATCCCTGTGGAGACGGGGAGATGCTGCTTTAGAGATGCCAAATAGCAAAGCTGCAAAAACAACATGCACTCTGAAGACAGACTCAGACTCCTACTCAAGGGTTCTCCATCTCCCAATCGCAGCACGTGGTCCCTCAATCTAAAGTGCTGGGTCATGGTACTGCACAGTGGGTTTATCCTACTGCCCAGGACCAATGTGTTTATTAACTCAGAGAGCTAACAGTGCCATGCACATGACAGAGGTTTATCCTACTGCCCAGGACCAATGTGTTTATTAACTCAGTGAGCTAACAGTGCCATGCACATGACAGAGGATGCCATTTCACATCAGGTGCTCCTTGAATCCTCAGCACATCACAACATTGGGATCTTTTTCACAACTGTTTATTATTGAGTGTGGAAAATCATTCACCTCTATCTTGCTAATGGTCTTTGCTAAATTTTATTCTTGTGTGATGCTCCACCTCTCTTGAAAGTATGGACAAATGACTAAAATGGTGTGAACATTCAGGTTTGCTAATCAATTTGAATATGACAGACTCACAATGAAGTAACTGAGCAAATGACTAAACTGTGTCAAGTCTTCCTCTACACTATGCACAACGGCCAACACCATACATACAAACTCCATCAGATCTCACAGGTTCACAATCCACTCCCAAGTCTGCTCCAGTCTGCGCTCCTCCCCTCGGAATCAAGAAGCCTCAATAATCAAGGAATTTAGAAGGAAAGTTGTTGGTTGTGGTGGCACACGCCTTTAATTAAAGAATATTTTAATTCTCAGTACTCAGGAGGCAAATGCAGGCAGATCAATGTGAGCTGATTTCAAGGCCAGCCTGGTCTACAGAGTACCTAGACAGCCAGGCTACACAGAGAGACCTTGTCTCAAACAAAACAAAACAAAACAAAACAAAAAAAGGCCAACATTTTTGTATTGTTTTCTTTTTCCTTTCTCTCTCTCTCTCTCTCTCTCTCTCTCTCTCTCTCTCTCTCTCTCTCTCTCGACTAGGTTTCACTATAGTCCAGGCTATACTGGAACTTACTACGTAGAACCAGGTTGGCCTTGAATTCACAGAGGTCCACCTGCCTGTGCCTTCTGAGCTGAGATTAAAGGCCTGCGCCACCATGCCTGGCTTTTTCCAGTATTTTTAAGTGTGTGTAGAAAGCCAATGACCACGCAGCATCCAGCAGCATCCAACAAGTCCCACAGGTGTGATGGGGCTGGTCCTTCCTTCCCTTTGGCAAAAGGAAGGATCGAGCAAGGTCTAGATGTCCACATTTTGCTACACAATTAAAAAAATTAAAAATAAAAAACACACAAATATAGCATCCCTTATTGAAGAAAAAAAAAAGGTGGGAATGAAATATATGTAGCTACACGCTTTCCCAAAGGATAAATACAGGAGGTACAGAGACTAAGAATCTGGTTCCCAGTGGGGCGGGACCAAAAGAGAAGGGATGGGGACACACAAAGGTACTCCTGGGCACTTTTGGGATAACACAGTCCTTCTAGTTCTGTAGTAATGGAGAAAGCTGGGAAATGAAATGGAGCCACCAATGAATCGACCTGAAACAAACACCAGAATAAAAATGGCCACCGTGGAGTACTATATTTTAAAAATGGCAGGAAGGAATCACACCATACAACAGGGCCCACGCAGGAGGTTATTGAGAGGAGGGGAGAGAAGAGGGGAGAGAAGGGGGGCAGAGCCTGGTCCCTGGGGATGAGGAAGAGGAAGGAGACGGGAGTAGACAGGCCGCCTTTTATAAGGAAACTAGTGAATGCGCACAGGGGGTGCTCTTAGTGGCTGCAGCTGAGTATATCCTGTCAGGACCCTCAGGGCAGGCCAGCACAGACGCCTGAGTGCTATTGGAGAGGAGCACTCTGAATACAATGCCCCACTCTAAAACAGGGTGCTGTGCTGGCTGCTGGTGCTGGTCTACGCCTGTAATCCTAGCATTCTGCAGCAGCGGCAGGACTTAACCCAAGTCTGAGGCCAGCCTGGTCCACACAGTGGCACGCTGATTGGAAACAGACACTGATGCTCAACCCTGAGGCTCTTCCTAGAGTGGCCCTGCTCACCAGTTCTGGAAATCTCTTCTGTGTGACACACTGAGGACAGTGAGCAGACAACTAGAGAAAGACAGTGCAGAGACAGAGCCTGTGCCGAGGAGTGTGAACTCAGGGCTTTTTCCACACTACGCAGCCCAAGCTGGTCTAGAACTCACTTCTTTCTATCTCAGCCTTCCAAGTGCCGGGATTGTATATGTGTATCACCATGCACAGCAAATTCATGGCTTTTCATGAGCTAAAGGACGAGCATTCGTAACTAATAATACACCTCTGTGTCATGATTTGGGAGCTGGCTGGTGGCCAAAAGAAAGTATGCTGTGGGCTGGAGACATGGCTCAGAGGTTAAGAGCACTGGCTGCTCTTGCAGAGGTCCTGAGTTCAATTCCCAGCAACCACATAATGGCTTACAACCATCTGTAATGAGATCTGGCTCCCTCTTTCTGGCGTGCAGACAGAACATTGTACACATAATAAATAAATAAATATTTAAAAAAAGAAAAAAAAGTATGCTGCATACAGCTTGTTCACTGTGGCTCCTACTAGCTGGATCTGGGAAAATCTGAGCCTCAAATGACAGACTAATATTGAATAAAATGAAATTCCATTGGTCCATACTGACATAAAATTACTTGACTAACTACTGTAGGAGGGACACAGTAAAAAATGGCTACTGTTGCAGAGACAAATTAATGAAGAGCCTCTGAGAGACACAAGTCAACCGACACCAGACATTCATATCTTCACATAAATAAAAGTATCTTTCAAATTATTAATGATGCCGGTTGTGGTGGTGGTGGTAGGATTTGCTGAAAGAGGTGGAGGCAGGAGGATCACGAGTTGGATCACGAGTTGGATCACGAGTTTGAGGCCAGCCTGGGCTACACATTTTGCCAGGCGGTGGTGGCACACACCTTTAATCCCAGCACTTAGGAGGAGGAAACAAGAAGTGAAATGGCTGGGCAGAAAGAAAGTGATAAGGTGGGTGGAGACAGGAGCTTGACCCCTTTCCGGCTGAGGATTTGGTGGAGGTAAGAAGACTCTCTAGTGGCTGGCTCCTTTATAGATCTTTCAACATTTACCCTGATAATCTGGTTCTGGGCTTTTATTAAGACCAATTAGGATTCGAGCTACCAAAGTGAAAGGCACTAAAAGGACAGGAGACACCATCTTAACTGAGCGATGGATATTAACGACACTCTCAAGCGTCGGTGGCACAGCACTGGGAAGACTGATGTAGCCTGGCTAATTCCCGTATCGAAAGGTTGCAGGGTTGGAGTGACGGTGGCCCATAAAGAGCAGTAATGACAAGCACATGGGGCATGGGTGGTGGCAACTGGTAAATCTGAAGACAGGAAAGGAAGTTCTTTGTAACCACCTGCCACTGTTCTGAAATTATATCCAATGAAAAAGTAACAAAGAAAAACCTAGCACACAGACTCACCTTTCTTCATTATTCAGTATGCTCAGGACAGGATCCACAGACAGCACACCATATAACTCTAGAACATCGTTGACTTTGAAGCAATCCCAATCTTCATAGACCTGAGGACAACACAAAATCAGGTTAACACTGAATGACATAACCAAGAGCAGCCAGGTACCCGCCCGCCAGCCAGAGAAACAGCAAGCATGTCAACAACCACGCTCCCACAGAGGCTGGCCATCAGCCAAAAGCTAAACCAGAGCCGGGCATGTCCACAGAGCCTACCTGGCTGGTCTAATACTTGCTATGTGGCACACACTGACTTTAGACTCAAAGCAATCCTCAGGTCTCTACCTCCCAAGTGTGGGAACTGATGGTATATGACACTACAATCAATTTAAGTTAGTTTCTGCATCGGGGCCATGTTACTGTAGCTCAGGCTAGCCTTGAATTCTTGATCTTCCTATCTCAGCTTCTAGAATGGTGGGATTACAGGCATGTGATGCAACACCCTTTATTTTAAATACAAGTGAGAAGTGGATTTTGAAAAGAAAGGCAAAATAGCGGAAAAAATATTATAAAGTCAGAAATGACATAGGAAGGAAATAGATATGAATTTTAAAGTTGTTCCACTTTTGAATGACTTTTTCCCCCTGGTTTTGTGAAACGGTGCACTAGCTAGTTTTATGTCAACTTGACACAAACTAGAGTCATCAGTGAGGAAGGAGTCTCAATTGAGAAAATGCCTCCATAGGACTGGGCTCTAGGCAACCCTGTAGGGCATTTTCTTAATTAGTGTTTGATGTGGGAGGGTCCAATCTATTGTGGGTGGAGCCACCCCTGGGCTGGTGGTCCTGGGTGCTATAAGAAAGCAGCAAGCCATGAGGAGCAGGCACTTCTCGAATGGCCTCTGCATCAGCTTCTGCCTCCAGGTTTCTTGTAGAGACTCACAGAGGTTTCCTAGTGAGAACTTACTCAGGATCCGAGAATTTGAGCTTGCTTCACCCAGCAGGGCTGCATAAGGGGATGATTTGACCACGGGCGTGGTTACCAGGTGTTTGGAAGGGTCTACACTTGGCTGTATGGTGTGCTTTGATCTAGCCAGGAGGAGGTCTTTTTGCCCTGCCCCTTGACATTGTTATAAAAAGCCCCTTTTGAAGAGGCAGAAGGGGCTGGTGGGTTTTGACCCAGGTTCTCCCGAAGCTGTCCTGTGTTTCTGTCTTTCTCCTCTTCACTATCTTTCTATCTAAAATTTTCTTATCCCTCTCTCCTCCTCATAGGAACCCTTTTAAAAGGTGGGAGCTGGCCTCCCACACTTAAGTTCCTGTCCCGACTTCCTTTGATGATGAACTAATATGCAAGTATAAGCTAACTAAACTCTTTCCTACCCAACCTGCTTTTGGTCATGGTGTTTTATCACGGCAATAGTGACGCTGACTAAGACACAGGGTCTCACTATGTAGCTCAGATTGGGTTTGAATTCTCCACCCTTCTTCCTCTATTATAGGCATCTGCCATGACACCATTGGCTCCACATTGGCCAATTCTTTAAGAATGTTGTGGTAGCCAAACTAAGGAGTCCCCAAAGATGGTTATAGCCCAACCACTGGAATGCTAAGTATGTTACTTCACATGCAAAAGGAACTTGGTGTGGTGTTCAAGGACCCCGAGGTGTTGATAGCCTGGATCATCTAAGTGGGCTCAGTGTCAAAGAGAGAACCTTTTCTGATGGAAATGCGATATAAAAAAATATGGTCAGGCCGGGCGGTGGTGGCGCATGCCTTTAATCCCAGCACTCGGGAGGCAGAGCCAGGCGGATCTCTGTGAGTTCAAGGCCAGCCTGGGCTACCAAGTGAGTTCCAGGAAAGGCACAAAGCTACACAGAGAAACCCTGTCTTAAAAAAAAAAAAAAACAAAAACAAACAAACATGGTCAGAAAGATGTAGTGTTGCTGTCTTAAAGATGGAATGTAGGCAGCCTCTCAAAGCTGGATGAGGCGAAAGACTACCAGATCCTTCCCTCCCTCTGCTCCTGTAGACCTCCAGAAGAGAACATGGCCTCTGGGTACCTGGTTTTATCCATTTCTCATGTCAGACTGATGGCCTAAACGTGTAAAATAACTTTTATTGTTGTAAATGTCTAAATCTGAAATAATCTGTTATAGTGACAAAAGACAATTCAAGCAAATGCAGAGGCTTTCCTAATGCTTCCTTTCTGAGGTAGCACCGTCTGTGGAGAGAGAGAGCTGGGAAAGGCTGTACCTTAACGAGGCAGGCGGGGCCCTTCTCTCCTGGCAAGGGGAAGTTCAGGTCGAACGGGGAGGAGAGGTTCACGGAGCTCGGCAGCTGCCCGGCGGAAGCCTCCGTCTCTAAGCGCTTTGGCTCTCCGCACCAGTGAAGGCCACCAAGGCCCCCTAGGCGCAAACAGCATTGCATGAGGTCACTTCTAAGCCCCCCAAAAAAGAACATTCCAAAAGCGCTTTTCAAGTTTGACATAAATCATGTTTGTGAGTTGAAAAAGGCTCATGTCCAGTTTTAATAACATTGTTTGACTTATCCCAGAACAAAGACAGATACACACCTAAAATATTTAATTCCTTACTTACTATGAAATGACAACAAACTACTCCATCAAATATAATGGAGGTATTTTGTTTCTTTTCTTTTTTTGAGACAGGGTCTCACTGTAGTACAGGCTGGCACTGGACTCTATAGGTCATCCTCCTGTCTTAGTCTCCTAAGTATTAGGATTTCAGATGAAAACAGATGTAGTTACTCATGTAAGAACTTTTAAAAGTTAATTTCATCCCACCCAGCTATGACACTTAGGAACCCCATCAACAACCGGAGTGACATGATGACCCTAAGAGTGCAGCAGTGGCACACACACCTTGGTGTAACCAACAGCTCTCTAATGGGACTTGACACCCACTCAACAAGAGGGGACCACGCCTGGAAACCTAGCTAACTGCTAGTGAAGTTAAGGTCACTAAAGGAGAATCTACAGCCTACTTTACTAATCCAGCATAATCCCTAATGACAATCTATAGAGTTATCCTTACACCCACACGTAAGTGTCGTCTCTCTTCTGTAACAGAGGAAGACACCACAGAAAACCACAACCAACCAAATGCAATGGATGCATCGACACAACAACTCCTGCACCCAAGGCGCAGGAACTTGTAGACGAGGCGGCAGAGAGGTTGTAAGAGCCAGAGAATCAGCAACCTTGCAGTGAGATTGTGTCTCCTAGAAAAACTGCAAATTCCATCTGTGAAGTCTCTCCAACATGACTGCCTAAATGTGAGCTGAACAAGGACACCGACAAACATGCCAGATTGCATGGGAAAAGCCCCTAAGACTTCAATCCTATACAAAGAAGTACATGCAACTGAGTAAAGCTGGGAACAGAAAAGGTGGCCCTCCCCAGGCAAGGGCACACAAATTGTTTGTCTAATGCCACACAGTCATGCCTGAAAACATATATACAATTAACCTTATATGCACTCAACAGGTTATATTTAGGAATACACACACACACACACACACACACACACACACACACACACACACACACACACAGTAACGGTTGATTGAAAGAAGCCATAAACTTGAAGGCGAGCAGGGGGGGCATTCAAGAGGGTTTGGAGGGAGGGAAAAATGTATTTAAAAAACAATCTTAGCCAGGGAGGGTAGCACAAGCCTGTAATCCTGGCACTGTGGAGGCAAAGGCATGAGGATCTGAGTCTGAGGCTAGCCTCTTCTACATAATGAGCTCTAAGACAACCAGGGCTGCACAGTAAGACCCTGTCAAAAACCTTAAAAATAAATGACAAATATATATATAAATTATATATGTTTAAAAATTATATATTTAAAAAAAAAATATATATATATATAAATTAATTTCAGGGTCTGGAAACAGTTCAAGGGTTAAAGAACTGGCTGCTCTTGCAGAGGACCCAGTTCCCAGCACCCACAAGGTGACTCACAATCACCCCTAACTCCAGTTCCAGGGATCTCATACCCTCTTCTAACCTGTGTGAGCATTCATGTGGTGTACAGACATACAGGCAGGCAAAAAGTCACAAAGAGAAAATAAATTTTAAAAAATCCTAAATTAATTTCAATATTGTTACTTGGGTTGTGCTGAAAGCCAGGAATAGATACACAGAATGAATAACTGGTTCTGAGGACTACAAACTGGGGTGGTCAGGTTCTCATCAACCTGGACTCTGTCTGAATATCTGGTAAATGGATTTCTTTTTATGTGACTTTATCATCCTGAAAAATAGGAAAAGACTATGTCTCCCAAGGTTTTCTGTTGTCAGTACAGCATCTGTTCTTTAGATATCAAAGATACCCACACATATACACAGAATTAATAAATGTAAAAATAAAAACTAACGCCTTTAATCAATCCTAGCACTTGAAGGCAGAGGCAGATGGATCTCTGAGTTCAAGGCCCATCTGGTCTACGGAGTTCCAGGAGAGCCAGGGCTACACAGAGAAACCCTGTCTCAAAAACTAAAGTAAATGAATGAATGAATGAATAAATAAATAAATATTAAACCAGGTGTGGTCGTACATGCCTTTAATCCAGCACTTGGGAGGCAGAGGCAGACAGAGCTCTGTGAGTTTGAGGCTAGCCTGGTCTACAAAGTGAGTTCCAGGACAGCCAGGGCTATTACACAGAGAAACCCTGTTGTTACACATAGAAACCCTGTCTCGAAAACCCAAAAACCAAAAAGAAAAAAAAAAACATGGATGTCACTATTGAAGTTATGGAATTTCTCTGTATCACTTCTCACAATGCTGCCTTACTCTACTGATCTCAAGAGAGGAAGTTTAAAAATTCTACATAGCCTGAAAGAAAAACCTAGAAATTAACACGCAGCACGCTGCATCAATGTACAAAACCTTGCAAGTCCTCAGTACTCAGACAGATGGGAAGAAACAGAAGCAGCGCCTGCAAGAGTGAAGAGAAAGAAAACCACCACATTCCCTGGACTCAGTGGTCACTTACAACACACTGCCAACCCGAGTGAACTTTAGGGATAAGGAATACTACCCCTTCTGTGTTCACCACCTATAAAAACTCCAATTTTAAAAACATTAAAATGCTAACTAGCATTAGCCCGGTGGTGGTGGCGCACACTTTTAATCCCAGCACTCAGGAGGCAGAGGCAGGGGATCTCTGTGAGTTTGAGGCCATCTGGTCTATAGAATGAGTTCAGAACAGCCAGGGATACACAGAGAAACCTTGTCTCAAAAAACAAAAACAAACGAAATCAGTATTCTAACTCTATAAAACACAATTACAAATGCCAATCCACAATACAGCCAAATGAAATTTATCATTATAGCTTTATATTCTTGACTGTGCAATAAGCTCTCTCAACCCTACCTTAAAGACAGATTCTCACTTTTGAGGGGAAGTGACCAGCGCAAAAAGAAGAAGGAAGGCAAACTTGTCTACTCGCCATATGACGAAAGTCACTGTTCATTAAGTCCAAGAA